CAAAAGCCCCAGTCTGTTTTAGGCCCCCCCCCCCCATATTTTTGTTACACTAATCATTGGTGACTGTTCTGTGTAAGAGGCAACCCTAAAGGCAGGATGTTGTTTTGAGTGCTTGTGGTAATACAATACTGATTGCGCCTCTGCTGAAACAATTCTGCATAAGTACAGTACTGATTCTGTCTCTGTGGACATTTCAGCTTGTGTTGGTTCAGTAATGGTTTTGTGTCTGTGTACATGTAGTTGTTTGTGCCAGATTCTGTCTCTGCAGAGGTTTCTGTTTTTGTCAGTACATTAGTGTTGTTATCTCTACATACATGTTACTGATCAATGTTGAAAGGTGATGCGAGGAATCTGACACTGCACTGTTGCCCTTCTGTTGTCTTGTACCAGTCTTGCCACTCTGCGTTCTGCCCTAACATTGACTAGTCGCTGACGGCCATTACACTCACTGCCCACTTTATTAGGTACACCTTGCTAGTACTGGGTTGGACCCCTATTGTCTTCAGAACTGCTTTAATTCTTCATGGCATTGATTCAACAAGGTGATGGAAACATTCCTTAGAGAGTTTGGTCCATACTGGCATGATGGCATCACACAGTTGCTGCAGATTTCTCAGCTGCACATCCATGATGCGAAGCTTCACCATCCTGAACCGTTGATACAAGGCAGGATGGATCCATGCTTTCATGTTGTTTACATCAAATTCTGACCCGACCATCCGAATGTTGCAACAGAAATCGAGACTCATCAGACCAGGCAATGTTTTTCCAATCTTCTATTTTACAATTTTGGCGAACCCTTGCAAACTTCAAGGTTCAATGTGTTGTGTGTTCAGATATGGTATTCTGCATACCTTGGATGTAACAAGTGGTTCTTAGAGTTACTGTTGCCTTTCTATCAGCTTGAACCAGTCTGGCCTTTCTCCCCTGACCTCTGGCATCAACAAGGTATTCTTGCCCAGAGAGCTGCAGCTCACTGGATATTTTCTATTTTTCAGACCATTCTCTGTAAACCTGAGAGATGGTTGTGTATGAAAATCCCAGTACATCAGCAGTTGCTGAAATACTCAAACCAGCCCGTCTGGCACCAACAACTATGGCATGTTCAAAGTCACTTAAATCACCTTTCTTCCCCATTCTGATGCTCGGTTTGAACTTCAGCAGACCATCTTCTCCACATGCCTAAATGTCTTGAGTTGCTGTCTGATTAGATATTTGTGTTAACGAGCAGTTGAAGAGTAGAGATGAGTCGAACACCCCCCTGTTCGGTTCGAATTTGAACTTTCGAACATGGAAAAAGTTTGAATTTGAACTCGAACTCAATGCAAGTCTATGGGGGTAAAACTTTGAAAATCATTTGACCCCATTTTTAAGGTTTATTTGCAAGTTAATGGCCATAAAAAAAGGTATGGGGATCCGGGTACTGCCCTGTGGGACATGTATCAATGAAAACACACTTTTAAAAAATAAAATTTTTAAAGGAGCAGTGATTTTAACATCACTTGAAGTGAAACAATAAAAATGAAAAATTCCTTTAAATATGGGGACCCTCGAAATCGTGTTTCGAGGGTCCCCTAAAACTGTCTGTAAAGTGGAGCATCTGTACAATGTATAAAACCTGCACCAGAAAAAATGAAATTTTTTAAGAAAAAAATTACATTTAAAAAGAAAAAAAAAGTGCGTGGTTCCTCCTCTCAAACAATACCAGACCCTTTAGGTCTGGAAGGAATGTTAGGAGGGACCCCATGTACAAAAAAAAAAGTGTGTGCCCACCCTCCCTACAATTTCTTGTACTGTTTTTAGTTCCTTTTCTTTGTATCCTTTTTCTTTAAGGATACAAAGAAGGATACAAAGAAAAGGAACTAAAAACAGTACAAGAAATTGTATCAAAAAAGGATAGACTGGATTTATTAAAACCTGTACAAAAATCTAATGATCAAGGGCATGTAGCCTTCATAACACATTATTCAGCCCAGTACAAGTTAATAGAACGCATTTTCAAAAATCATTGGCATATCCTTAAAAAAGATAGGTTATTGGGTCCAATCCTACCAAGTAAATCTAGAATGCTATACAAACGAGCCCTGAACCTTAAAACAAGACTTGCTATAAATGTGCTGTATCCCCCTAAATCAGAGGTAACCATTTTTAAGGGTGTTGGTTTGTATCCCTGCAAATATTGCATTTGCTGTAGAACAACAGAAACGAGGAAAAAGATCACCTCCTTTAAATCTGCCTCCACGAACAGGGAATATAAAATACAAAAATTCATCTCCTGTTCATTTCATGTTGAAAAATGGGTTAGTGCAATACCAATTGCTTTTACCTTTGACTGAACATTCCTATCATTTCTATTCCAACAAGTCCAGTTGTCACAACCAATGCTTGCATCCCTTATTTGCTTTTTATCAACAATGTGTATCCAACCATAGAGTCCTAATACCTTACCGACTGTGTAAAACTGCCCATACACCTTGTGATCATCGGTGGAGGTATGTAGCTGGTTAACCTACTTACTCAGTTGCCCTTGTGGCTTACAGTATGTAGGACAAACTACCAGAATGCTCAAAAAAAGATTAGAAGAGCATATAACTAATATTAAAAATGGTTTTATTAAACATAGTCTCTCTAGACATTTTAGCCTATTCCATAATAGAGACCCTAAACTTTTACAAGTAATAGGGATAGACAAAGTTGACAGTCACTGGAGAGGCACAAACTTAACTAGAAAAATATCACAAAACGAATCCAAATGGATTTACACATTGAACACTATGAACCCCAGTGGACTAAACATCGATTTTGATCTGAATTGTTTTCTCAGCAATAATTAAAATACATTATTAAATCCCCAATATTTAAGAGATTACTAAAACTATTTTTATGTCGGATATTGATGTTTGTATAATTATCGATTTTATTATAGAATTTAAACGGTTTTTAACATTGTTATGTTATGTATTTTATTGATTCCATTTAATCATTCAATTATATGTTTTTAATATATGGAAATATTGATTAATGAAGGCTTTGCATATATGTATGGATTAATTGCATTTAATAAATAGATGTGACAATGGGTTAATGGATGTCAGAACTTACCCTGGTTGGGTAAACGAGACATTGATTGATCCACCTAATTTATGCTATATAAGTAAGGTTTTGGTATGAGAATTTTAGACCTGCATGCTCCCCTGAGGACGTCATTGATGACGAAACGCGTAGGGGCGGATCTTTTCATACCAAACCTAACATTTGCAGAACCGGTCGGACTAGTTTTACTGCTTTTGGATTTAAATTTTTAAATTTACGAATGAACCACCTTTTGACTACACTATGAAGGACTTTTCTTTCTTTGCATGAGAGAACGGGTACTCTTTATCTGGACAACCAACGGCAGAGGAGGTGCCGGCAACATACACCGGACCAATTCACTCCGATAAATATAACGTGTGTGGCTGTCTGTTACAGCCGGATACTTGGGGTGAGTACTTACTTTTAGGGAATATGTATTGATCTCAATACACTCCCCGGAATAAGGATTGCGAATATATTCCGAACATTTCGTTATTTTTCTTCACTTTGAAATGGATTGAAAATATCACAGAGACTTTTTTGTTATCTTTATAAAAACATTTTTTTATTGGAATTTTACACAGCAAATAACGGAGACCACATATACATATTTTTTTCATAGAGACATATCATTTATAGTTTCTTAAACGAAACATTCAATTAATATCTATCCACCTCGACCACATAGAAGAGTCACTTTTTGATAGGATAATTAACACTATGTTCACGGAAAGAATTCCTATCACCCACATTTGATTTGATTTTTTTCAGCACTTTTGTTGTATGTTAAAATTGGCTTATATGTTCAGCACTTGGTTTCTATCATTCACTAGTTAAATTTAGCGCTGTTTGATTTCTTATTTCTCATTCATTGGAATTTGCTATATGAGATCTAATCCACCTGGTCAGAAAAGGAGATTATCCCATCATGTTGAAAAATGGGTTAGTGCAATACCAATTGCTTTTACCTTTGACTGAACATTCCTATCATTTCTATTCCAACAAGTCCAGTTGTCACAACCAATGCTTGCATCCCTTATTTGCTTTTTATCAACAATGTGTATCCAACCATAGAGTCCTAATACCTTACCGACTGTGTAAAACTGCCCATACACCTTGTGATCATCGGACGAAACTTTTCGTACGATGATCGAACCATCATACGATTTTCGTACGGCGACCCCATCCTGCCTCGATTATCGCACGGTTGGATCAGTGGTAATTAGAAGAAAGTACCTGGACTAATTGTGGTAATCAACCGCACGTATTTTCGTCTGCTGTCAGGGGAGTACGGCTGGGCCGTGAGTGGAACCCCTTGGCAGGGGCGGCACGCCAAAGTCTGAGGTCGAGGTACACAGGGGAAATCCAAGAAGAGTAGTCAGGTCCAATCCGGGTCGAGGCAAGCAGCTAGGTTCAGATGCGGAAGGGCAGGCCAAAGGGTTGGTGAGAGGGAGTCCAAGCAAAAGGTCAGGAAGTGAGACGGTTCAAGGCACAGGGAGCTGGGAGATCACACCATAGGGATAGAATAACTCAGTAATTAGCCAGGGCTCTGACTGGCCTTTTATACCCAGTGGGGAACTAACACTACCCCCTGGTTGCCGAGGCAACCAAGAAGCTTCTCCATCCAGGAGCCAAGGGCAAGAGAAAGGCAGAGGGTGTGTGCTGGGAACCTCCCCCAGCAAGGATCATACCTGACACCAGTAATGGGCGCAGGTGCACTACATGTGTGCCCCTGTGCATGCGCGCGCAGCCTGTCCACCGAGGTCACCTGCCCCGCATTGAGCGCATGCACACCCATAACCCTGGTGCCAGGGGTCCTGCCAGGAAGGAGAACCCGTGCCGCACATGGCAACCCAGAGGAGTGGTAAGACCCCTGGTAGCCGTAATTGGCGTAGAAGGGAGAGAATCCGGTGGAGGTATGTAGCTGGTTATTGTAGACATACTCCGCCAAAGGAAGATTAGTCACACAGTCGTCCTGTAGAAGGGAGGAATAACAGCGTAGATACTGCTCAAGTGTCTGATTTGTCCTCTCCGTCTGCCCGTTGGACTGGGGGTGATATGCAAAAGACAGGTTACGGGAAATTCGGAGGCAGCGGCAGAACTGGGATCCCCTGTCGGAAACAATGGAAGACGGGAGCTCGTGTAGCCGGAATATGTGCTGAAGAAAGAGATTTGAGGCGAGTTGAGCAGTCGGGAGGCCAGAGGTCGGTATAAAGTGCACCATCTTGGTATACCGATCCCCCACAACCATGATCGTGGTATGGCCCTGTGAGGGGGGTAGGTCCACAATATAATGCATGGCAAGATCCCTCCATGGCAAGGTCGTCACAGGTAAGGGTTGCAGCAGTCCTACGGGCTTGGAGGTGGGTTTCTTGTGCAGCGCACAGACGGAACAGGAGCCCACAAAAGGACCGTACGTCCACTGTCAGAGAGGGCCACCAAAATCGTCTTTGTATGCACTCCAGTGTGTTGCGTATACCCCGATGACCCGCTGTAGGATGGTCATGGTGATGTTGAAGTATGGGTACTCGCTGAGGTGTGGGTACATAGATCTGCTGGTGGTGATAGCGGAGCCCCAGTTTTAGTGGAAGATGGGCTGCTTATGGCTGTGCAGGCCCGTCTGATCTCCTCAATTAAGGAGTGCCGAGTGGCCAGGAAGTATGTGTCAGGTAATATGGGTTCGGAGGGGCGAAAGCGGTTTCGGTGTCATGGAGGCGAGAAAGGGCTTCAGCCTTTCCATTTTTCGAGCCGGGTCTGAATGTTATCTGCAAGTTGAAACGGGAGAAAAAGAGGGCCCACCTGGCCTGCCGTGGTTGTAGTCGTTTGGCATTTACGCAAATACTGCAGATTACGGTGATACTGTCACTGGGTGTTTGGAACCCCCGAGTAGGTGCCTCCATTCCTCCAGGGCATCCTTTATGGCAAGCAACTCCCTTTCCCCCACATCATAGTTGCGTTCTGCCTTGGTGAGTTTGCGGGAGTAGAACGCTACAGGGCGCAGGAGCTGTTTCTCCCCCTGTTTTTGTGAGATGATAGCCCTGAGGGTGTTTTCGGAGGCGCCAGTCTCCCATTAGAAGGGGAGAGAGGCGTCGGGTTGAGCCAGAACTGCAGCCTGGGTGAACAGCCTGTGAAGATGTTGGAAGGCCTTGTGTGCTGCGGAGGTCCACACGAAGGGAACGTTATTTCCCGTCAGAACGGTTATGGGAGCGCATACGGCAGAGAAATTGCGGATGAACCTGCTGTAGAAATTGGAGAAGCCAATGAACTGCTGGACCATCCGCCTGTTGCATGGGATGGGCCACTCCAGGATGGCCTGTATCTTCTTGGGGTCCATCTCTACGCGCCTTGGCAACTGGATGTAGCCCAGAAACTCGATCGAAGAGACCTCAAAGGTACTCTTCTCTAGCTTGCCGTAGAGCCGATGGACCCTGAGGCGGTGGAGGACCGTTGTAACATTTTGTTTGTGTTGCTGGAGTGTCTGGGAGAAGACATGGATGTCGTTGAGATACACGACCACATATATATCCTCCTGTGACAGCTGTCAGGATGGCGAGCGAGTGCAAACACTCAGCGATCACTGCCCAGTTATTGTTTTATAACAGATCAGGGGATGCTGATCTGTCATTACAACTGGGCAGATAAGCGCTGCGGAAGGAGAGCGCTGTGTTTGTGGGTTTTTTTGAGAGGGAGGGGGGGCCCAAAAAAAAAATCTTGCACCAGGGCCCTATGTTCCTTAGCTCTGCCACTGGCAGAGCCAGCTGTGAGATCACGGCTGGCTCTGCCCGGCTGTCATTTGTATGGAGATCGGTTGGCTTCGGCCGACCTTTCTCCACGCTTTGGGTGCCACTACAGCTCAGCTGAGCCAAAGCATATGTGTTCGGCTTGGCTGAGCCCCTCAGCTGCTGTACGGGCTATTGTTAATAGCCCGTACAGCAGGCGGCAGAAGTGAGCAGAAGGATCAGCCAAAGCTACGGCTGGTTCCTTCGGCTCTTTAGTGAATAACCCCCATAATATTTGGCAAATCAATATCATAGAAAAGAAATGTTCTTCAGAGGCTTCTCACACAGGTATTTTGCTTTGCAGCAGATTTCCTTTTTCCACTTTTCAACATATTGAGGATAAATAACTAATCTCCATTTCCTCTAGTCAGTCTGTTATTTGACGAGCCACCATTGTTGTTATGACACTGCGGATCTATATAGTGTGACCTGTAAGAAGCTGTTATGCCATGTTCCAGCCAAACCCGCTCTAATGTAACACACTGGTATTAGTGGGCAGTTTGTGCAGTGATTATATCCAACAGTACAAAGTATTAACAAAGAATTAGTGTATGTACACATCATAATAGAATTTATCATACTTAGCATCTCTACTATTCATTCTCTTACTGTACATAGAAATCCAGCACTCTGATTTTGCATAATCCTGTCTGGCAGAACAAAAGATCATGTTTCCAACACATTTCAGCTGAAACAATCTACACTGCGAGAACGATTTAGGGTATAAGCTGCCATTACCTAACCTGTTATTTTTACATCTGATGCCAGAGAAAACAAAAGTACTGACCAGAAGCCACCCAGTGTTTGCCAGTAGTTTGACTGATGCTTGTGCTAGTCAGGTAACTTAAATTCTAACTCAACCCGAAATGTTTTTTCTAGTCTTGGATAGAGTGGGTTGAGTTAAAGATACCTGCAGGTTGTTATATTTGTCTGCAATCTATTAGGAATAGTTTCCTTCACTTCCTAGCCTGTACAGGAAGTTAGGGTGCAGTCATAACTGGGACAGGAAATTCAAATGTTGAAAAATATTCCCAATACATTCCCTAATCCTTCCTCACTTTACTGAAAGGTTTTTGCTATTTTTTCTGCATCCCTATTGGAGGGATATCCCATCACTTCTACTACTGACAGAAAGCGAGTGTAAACTACCTCAACACTGACACAGACAAGGTAAAACTAAATAGCACATTAAAAGATAAAATAACAAAACCAGCTTTCATGCAGTACTTTTTTTCTGCTGCTAGATAGCCTCAGTCTGATCATTTAACCCTCTTTCTTTGAGCTCAGGTTGTCCTGGAACCAACCCTAGCCCGTGAGAGGACATGGAAATGAGAAGCAGCACAGTAATCAGCTCCTCTCTCTGTCACACTGCTTTCTCTTACAATCAGCATGCTTCTTGTCAGCACATGAAGTGATTGGCCCCTTGTGATGTTTCTTCCTCTCACGCTTCAGCCCTGCTGTACAGGGTCTGCAATAAGCTCATACGAGGTCAAATTCAGGTGCTTAAACTGCTTGCATTTACAAAGTTGCATTAACTTGTGTGTAGCCCTGTTTCGGGGGGAAGGGGGGGGGGGGTCATGTGAGATGACCATCTCCGATCAGCTACTGCTGCCAACCTGTGGGTAACTTGAAAATTCTGAGCCTCCGCTAAGTGGGAGTATGGGACTGGATATATCTTTAAGCGACAGTGTCTCCACTCAGCTGGGCCTTGTGGTGTACAAGTGGGACCCCAGTTGAGAATTACCTGGTCCCTGGGCATAGTCTTCTGTACGTACAATTCTGATCAGTAGTAGATAAGATCAGTAACTTGGAATACCCTTTTTTGTATGACAAAGCATATTCCTCTGGTCTTCTATATAGATGTATATATTTCTGGCTCCTGCTTCTATGCAGCTATACTGACTGGACACATACCATGTCAATGTGGCTCCTTGTAACTCAGGTTCTAGTGTATGCTTAGTCATTACACCCGGAGCTCAGTCTGTCACTCACCATCTATGTGGGGGACACCTGCAGCTTGCTTCCTCTAGGCCAGGATAACATTCAATTGCAGTCATCGTCTTATGGACACCTCCAAGACAGGGAGATCCTCACATCTTCCATACCCCTAGGTCCTCAGGCCTGGGGCCTAGTTTAGCCAATCACTGTGGCATCCTCACAGGGGAACACCCTGGAGGAAAGAGACTGTGGCAGGAAGTGCCTCAGATATTAATTAGCTCTCCTAGCATGCACAGCAGGCTCCCCAAACCTACTGATTGGCCAGGCATTAAAGGTGAACTATGAGGCGAGTAAAAATCACTCATCCTCATAGTTCGAGCCGATGCGTGAAAATGAAACTGTCACACATCGGCTCAATAGATTGGGAAGTGAGCGAACACATACCGTCGCTCCCTCACTTCTCGATCATCTCCCTGCAGAGAGCAGTGACTGTCAGTCACCACTCCCTGCAGGGATTCCTCCCACTCTGATCCTCTAGCGTTGACTGGAGGAACGGACGAGGGAGGGGGCGGGTACAGCTGGCTCTGCCTCTGGATGAATGCCCTTCTGGAAGAATGACACACTGCTAAACCTTGTGGACAGCCTTCCCAGAAGAGTTGAAGCTGTTATAGCGGCAAAGGGTGAGCCAACCCAATATTGAACCCTCAGGGCCCGTTCACACCAGATGCAGTGCGTTCCGGCCCGATTCTGGCCAGAACGCCCTGCCTCGCATTGTGGCTGGCTCACTTTTTTTGTAGGGCAGGAGGGGGAGTGTCGGGCCATTGAAGTGAATGGCAACATAGCCACGTCCTCCGGTCACCTCAAGGTCGGTAATAACAGTCAACAAGACAGTGGAACAGCAGGAGGTGGGGTGTGCAGAAGCTCGAGAGTCAGAACCAAGTCCAGGGCTCTATTTACAAATTGAGTCCCATTCCAGGTAATTCCAGGTCACACAGAAGATGATTTAGAACTGTATAGTGCTTGTTGTTGCGTAAAGATAATAGAAACTAAAAACTTCAAAACTTGATGACAGTTTCACTTTAATGTAATACTTTAAAGATGCACTAAATTCTTCATTGCTATAAGTACTATGTATGGATTCAAACGTCCCTGTCATACTTCTTTACAACTTTTCTTTACCTATAAATTGGCGCATTTTAGGCAAGCCTGTAAAGCTTTTAAAATGTTTGAAATCCCTCTTGTTTAGGAGAAGGGACCACAAAACTCCTGCTATTACATTTACTAGCCAGAAAACCTCACAATGTGTGCCTTTCTGAATCTGGTTTAACTGTACTACTAGGTGCCCAACTCGTTTGACTTCAGGCCTAAGCCCAATAACCCTTCCACTGTACATTGAACGTGCTCAAGTTAAACACTATAGTACTGTCATTGGACAGGGTGAAAGCAGTTGACGATACCTAGCCTGGAAGTCAGTCACACGAACACAAGTTGAAGGTGTCAATATAGAGGTGTAGCACTATTGTGACTTCTCTTC